AGGGACTGCTGCTCTGGGGGCGGGGCCTCGAGGTGGGCGGGGTCCCGCCAGCCACGCCTCCCCTGGCTGTGCGGGGGAGGGGCCTGCGCAGGCCACGCCCCCGGCGCAGCGGGGTCCGCCAGTGGCGCTGGCGGCCGGGGGGGGGGGGACCCCTGGGAGCCCCCTGCGGGTCACGGCCCCAAAATAACGCCCGTGGGGCCGGCGGGATCCCTCCTGCTCCGCCCTGTGCCGAGCCCGGGCCCGCGCTCTGGGAGCTGGCGCTTGAAACCGCCGTCTCGGCAGACCGGAGCTTCGAGGGCGCCTGCGGCGCGCAGCCCCGGGGCGCCTGCTCGGGCGTCACCCCCCACGCGTGGCCGTGAGACGCGGTCGGTGCCGCGGAGAGGAAGGCGGCGGCGTGGAGTCCTTGCACGGGCTCGGAGGCCGATCCGTTTGCAGGCTGGGGCCAGCCAAGCTGTTCGTATTTTCCCCCTGGGCCGGTGCATCCCAGCCTCGGGTACTGAAGCGCTTGAGATTTGTCGGAGCTGCCGGCGTGGTTTGGATGCCCGGTTCCCTTCCAAACCCCAGAGGCAGCTTCGAAAGCCTCTGCCAAGCAGGGCCAGTGTTTCCTGCTCCTTTGGAGTTGCAAAAAGTAGCTCCGGCGTGGGAGAGGCGCGTCCTGCTTTTGGCAGCTACCAGTAGCCTTCGTCTTCCTCCTTGCTGCCTCTGGTTCAAGCTTGCCAGCGTTGAGAGGCGAGCACGCACAGAGCTGGCACAAAAAAACAAGTTAATAAGCAAATGCGATGGTGAGTCTACAGGCGGTATCATGCTGGCTTAAACATAAAAGTAGATCGGTGTTTAATTAGCAAGTCTGGTTCAGCCTGGGTCCGCCCATTGTTCTGTAACATGCTTGTGCCTAACAGGCTGCTCCCACACACACCCCGAACTGCTCTGGGTGCTGGAAGTTGAGTTTACAGCCTCTTAACCTAAAATGGTTGTATTTTGGTTGGTAGGAGAACCCCGGGGATCTCCACTACGCCCTCCTCTCTCTTTCTTGTTTAGAAATCACATGCCGCACTGAGGCCGGAGTGGGGGATGAACCCAAGGACCAGGAGGAGGAGATGCTGGTCCTGGAGCAGGGCTCTTGCCCAGCAGGTTGCTGGCAGCCTCAGGCTGCAGCCGGGGCGGTGAGACAGGACTGCCCAGCCGGTTCCCTCTGTGCTTCAACAGCACACCCAGACAGGTTGTTCGTGGCAGCCTCGGGGTTGTTGGAAGAAACCAGCCAAGCCGGCAGTCCTTGCTGCAACCCAGCCACGCTTTTTCCACAGAGCTGGCCCTATGGAGCAGGGAGCGTATGGGGCCATCCCATCTCCCGCAGCACTGAGAGCAGGTGCCGGGGAAGAAGATGAACGGCTGGGTGTGCGGCGGTACTTTCCAGCCACCCTCGCAGCCTCCGGTATTGCCATACCGCTTGTCGCAGCTGTTGACGCTCTGACCGTTTCGGTTTTGGCAGGATCCGGGTGTCGGAGTGAAAGGTGCAGCAGCAGCAAGAACTGTGCCTAGTGCGAGTGCTGGAAAAGAGGGCGAGGAAAGCTTTGAAGCGGTTATATGAGTCGTTGCCCTAAACCTGCCTTGCACCCACTGCCAGGTTAGCAGGACCTGTAGGCAGTAGTGCAAAGACTTTTCCTTTCGTGCCCAGGGAGAGCTGCAGTGATCCTCCCTGAGCTGATTATTTTACCTTACCCAGAGCTTCACCAGTGCCCGCAGCCCATTGTTCCCCTTGTACCTTCTCCGACCTTCCTCCTCTCCCCCAGTAGTGGTACCCTGGATGCACCAAAGGCATCGGCAAGGCACCCCGGGGAGGCTCAGCTGGACAACGGTGACCCCAGGCTGGACCAACCTCCCTTTCCCACCAGCTACCAGCGGCCCTGGGACGGTGGGCACGACCCCTCGGTGGAGGAGGGGGAACGAAACACTGTCTCTCTGGGATCTGGACTGGCTGGGGACAGCTCAGTCCCAGGGGGAACTGTGTCCCCTCTCCCACTGTGGGTCTGTATGTCCCCCCCGGCACCGCAAATCCAGCAGTGGGCAGGGGCTGCAGGAAGGTCCCTGCAGTGCTCCTGGCTGGGCTGTGCTGGGGCTGGAGCCAGCAGTGACTCAGCAGGCGCCCGCCGGGCTGCCCTGCTGTGAGCCGGGCACGGGGGGCTCGGGGATGCTCCTGGCCAGCCCCAGGCTGAGAGCTGGACCCCCCCTCGCATGGGGACCATAGGGTGGTTGCAGCACCCAAGCAGCAGCCCAAGGTTTTGGGGTGCAGCGTGCCATCCAGGAGCTCCTCCCCTGGCAGCTGCATCCCACTGGCTCCCTGCAAAGCCGGGTTGTAGGGATTTGGGGATTTGAAATCCCCACACACACTGTCTTGCACAAAGCCACCACGCTGGCCGGTGCCACCCACGGCAGGTCTCCTCCGCTCCCCGTGGGCACAAATGCGACCTGCAAGCACAGCCCTGCTCAGCAGCGAAGGGTTAAAAGTGCCAGGCCAGCTATCAGGGAAGCTTTCCTCTCCTTTTCCTTGCCAAGGTTTAAATTTAGTCCCTGCATGAACCCAGAGAACTTGGGCATCAGGTTGCTCCAGGGCTGGCACTGCTGGGGAGCACCTGCTGCCATTGCTTCACTGCAAAAATCCCCCCCGAAAGCCGGGACTGAGCTCCACTGGTGGTGGTTAGGGCCAGCAAGCTGCGGAGACCCTCGTGCCGTGCCATGCCGAGCGCCCCGACCGCTTGCTTTGGGTCCCTGAAAAAAGGCAAATAATAGCCATCCATCGTTTGGCTCTTGTGAGTCCTGGAGGTGCTCGGTGCCTGGTTTGATTTCAAGCCTTGCATTTGCTCCTGACTGCTTGCGATGAGTTCTGGGGGAGCTGCTGCTTGGGGCAGGGTGGTTTTGGGGGGAGCCCCCAGGATGGGGACACTCCGTCTGTGCAGCGAGGCGGGCAGAGGCACCAGGAAAGGAGCCATTGCAGGGACGGAGCAGCAGCCTGGGGTCTGGCCGTGCCCTCTGCACAGGGGTGGGATGTCCCTAGAGGGGTCTGCGGGTTCCCCAGCTCCAGGGCAGCCCGGCCCGCTGCGCCGGGGCCCACGGCCCCGGTACATCTGTGGGGCACAGGGATGCCCCAGCACATCGCCGGCAGGTTTGGGGAGCAGTGGCGTCGGGCGAGGGGGCAGGGGACGGTGCTGGCAGCCCCCCGGCAGACCCCTGAGGCCGGGGGCGGTGGTGGCATCCCTGCAACGTGCTTGGCATTGCCTCCCCTGGGCTGGCGCTCGCTGACGTCCATGTGATCGAGGGGCTGCTCCATCCTGCCGCTGGGTCCAGCCGCCGTGACGGCGAGGGAGCCAGAAGGTCGAGCCAGCGTCCCTGGGAGAGAGTCCCCGGCACCGAGAAGGGTCCCCCGGCACCAGCTGGCAACCCTGAGGGTCATCCCTGCCGCGATGCCCCGCGGGAAGAGGGACCCCGTCCTGCTCTCCCACGCCGAGCTGCCCGGCGCCGACGACGAGGGTCCCCGCAGCGGCGGCGAGGGCCGGCGGTCCACGTCGGAGGAGGAGGGCCACCTCCCCTGCCTCCCCCGCGACGACCTCGCCAAGAGCATGTCCGGCTCTTCCGTCTCCTCTTACCACTCCGCCCTGTGCTCGGAGGGGACGGAGACCTTCAAGGACTGCCTGGAGTTTCTGGACGAGGAGGGGACGCCCACCTGGGACACGGGGCGACGGGGTGGCCGTGCCGAGGGGGCTGCCCCGGGGCGCTGGGCTCCGACGGGGGCCCCCGGCGTCCCCCC